GGAATTTTGAGTTTGCTACATAACACTGAAAAAGTAACTCAACTATAATAAGATTCGGTTACTTTCTAGATAAAGCATGGATAGAGTGCCTACTTCTTAGTATTGATGTGATGGTTAAGAGATAATCCACAGCTGGGCTCGGTGGCTCAGCCTGTAATCCCGCGCTTTGGGAGGATGAGGTGAGTGAATTGCCTGAGTCTGCGGGTTCAAGACCTGCCTGGGCAACTTGGCGAGCCCTCATCTCTACAAAAAAATCAAAAAATTAGCTGGGCGTGGTGGCACATGTCTGTGATTCTGGCTACTCGGAAGGCTGAGGCAGAAAGATCGCCGGAGCCCAGAAGGTCAAGGCTGCGGTGGCGGGGAGCGGCCACTCCAATCCAGTCTGGGCGACAGAGTGAGACTCCAACTGAAAAAAAAAAAAAGAGATAATCCACACAAAGTATAGAATAAATTCTTGGTATTAACATTAGCTTTTATTATATTATTATAAGTGTTAACACTAGCTTTTATTATATTTTTATAATTATATGGCTAGGACACTAGAAGGATAAATCTAATGGTGTTTTTCTATGGTTACACTATTCTATTTTTAAGTGCTTTATGATTATGATCTTATTTATTAGATTGTTGACAGCCAGAAAATTTAAATAGACTTAAAATTTGAAGTAGAATTCATGCATAGCTTCTTATCCAAAGTCCTACATTTAATTCTCTCATTAGGTTGATATCACTCTTGCACATAGAGTTAAGCTTCAGTGAGTTTGTACCTCAATTTCCCCAATCGGTTTTTAGGTATAGTTTACATGACTTTATAGTATGCAGTAATACCTTCAATATAGGAAATTCTTTCCTATTATCCCACAATTTATGACATACCTTCTAGAAGAACTTAGAAAATATTATTCATGAAATAATAACATATATTATTACACAATCATAACCCATTTTGATAAGCTGTATGGCTAGTAAGATGTGATGCCTATTTTTATTTCAAATCTTTTAAACTTTGTCTCTAAATCTATTTGGTCTACAGCTTTTTATAGATAGATAATATAATAATCATATAACTTCCTAATTTTAATGCCTGTTAAAATTGTCATGAGACTGTTTGTGCTTACATGCAAAGATCACTTTCCTATTGTCAAAAATCATGCAGTTTAATTCTCCTGGAGTTTAGAATGGAGGTGTAGAGCAAAATTTCCATACCATGTCTGGATAAATGCCTTTTTTTTTTCTATTTGGCATGTGATAGACCTATGGACAATGTAGGTCCAGATAGTTAACATGAGTGTATACCATATGCAAATGCAGCTATATGCAATTATAGATATTAATATTAGATGTTTCAAATACAATGCATGCATCTGTAAATATTCATAATATTATGTTATTCATAGCGGTGCCAATTTGAAGTTTTTTAGGACTTCCCATATATTCTAGTCCTGTTATGAATTTTTTGCCCATCAAATTGATTTATTTGTTTATGCTCAATAGAAAAGTTTAGAAAAATAATTTATAATTTTGCTTTAAGTTTCCTGTTTATAAGAAATATTTGACTATTACACATGTTCATTTAAAAACAGAATGAAGAAATCCTTAAAATTGTCTAATAAAGTTTTATTGTAGACTCTGATGTCTTTCTATAATTAATTTTAAGGTTTTGGCATCTATGAATTTATTACTTGCCGAAATACTAGATACTATTTACAACACTGCTATTTTAATAATATGGGCATTATTTATTTAAGATTACATTTAATTTGATAAAAATTAGAAAATATAGAATGAAATGTGTAATCCACTTCAGCACTTAAGGAATCTGGCAATAATATGTACTATATATGTGTGTGTGTATGTTTGTGTGTCTATGTGCATACCCACATATAGATAGATAGCGGGTATATGTTATATGTCTTAGACTACAAAATTAGTTGCAGAAGAAATGAAAATATTCTTGTAAAATCTAATGTACCAGTTTGGCCTCCATTGACTATCAGAGACTAAGCTCCAGTAAATTTAGTTTTCCATTTGCTTGGGCTTCAGTCATTGTGCCAGGGGACTTACACTGTGCCAAAGTGTATGAGGGTGGTATTTGGTCATTGGTAGCTTCATAGATCCAGGATGGCATTTGCTAAGCGGTTATTCTTACCTTCGATCAGTCTTCATTCAACATGTTCTCTCTCCTTTGAGGCTTTCTGGGGCTCTTGTCCTCAATTACCTTGAGACATCACCACCCTCCGCCCAAGTGGCTAACAACTAAAGAATACAGACCCTACACCTAGGACTTGACCTCAAATAGCGGCATACAATGGATTATTCCAGACCCATTACATTTGCTGCTTTCCCTTCAAATATCCTTATTCTGTCAATCAAGAAAACAGTGATCCAACATATTGGAAAAAATCAACAGATTCTCACTGATCTCGGTTTCCTTCTGTTGTGTTTATGTTCCAAAGCATTTTCATTACACCAAATGGCTAAGTTTTTTTTTTTTTTCCCCCAACTCAAAATGTCCATAAGCTTAGGAAACTCAAAAGACTTCTATCAGATTCTCTGTCATCCTCGTGGCAAGGGATCCTGCTAAGTGGATGGGAGAACAGGGAAGAGAACAAGAAAATAGGAAAGAGGAAAATATTCTATAAATATCTGCAAGTACTATCTTACCACATACTTATCTCCTTTAATTCATATAACAATCCCATTAGCAAAAATTATTATTGTCAATTTAGAGATGATGAAACTGAGACTTATTGCTGCTGGTTAATATTCCTGAATCCACATCTAGCCAGGTCTCAGTCTTCCCTGCTTCTTTATTAATCTTTCAGTCAATGTTAGAAAAGCACCCCACTTTGCAACTACTTTGGAAATAAATGTCTGAGGTCTAAAGTAACTATGAATATAATACATATTTTCTGATTAAATAATAAAGATGAAAGGGGAAAAACTCAAACACTCAGAAATACTTAATATATTTTAATGTTCCTGGACCAGATGTCAAACCTGGTTATCAAACTTTAGCACATTTAAGTGAATATTTAACTATAAAAATATGAGCAATACTATCAATTCATCATCCTTGGAGAAAAACAAAACCATATTAATTATTGGATAAAATAAGTGTGCTTTTTCTCTCTCATTTATGGATTCACCAAGCTTGTTTACTTGAATATTTGATTCATCATCTTTTTTACATTAGTTCATTTTAATTAAATTCTTATCTGACTGCTGTGTGAATGGTTCAATCATATATAAACTTACATAATCATAATTAATGTTATAAATCATCAACAGCAAATGAAAATAGTAGTGACCATAGATACACTTCTCAAGGTGATGTGTGTTTGAGTATGTATGAGGGGCAATCAATTATAAAACACACATTTTAACATTCAGTTTGAAATTGAGATATTGGGTGCAAAACATTAATAGTACGTTTTACTAAGTAGTAAGATTATGAGTGAATTTTTTTCTTTTCAAGTTTCCAAATGTTCTAGGAAAAATGCATGCTATTTTTGTTATAAAAACTCAGCAAAATACAGACATAAAAAAATAAGTATGTTCAAAGCCTGACCCTTCCAAGGATTGAATTGAAGATGTCCAAGTGGCCTGTAGAAATAAAAGTTTCAAAGTTGCTTGAGGAGTGGGGAAAAAAACATTGAAAGTGTTAATATCACCTCTAAATGCTGGCTCAACTCCTTTAATACCCCTTTTAAGTTTTTATGTTCAACTTCACTACTGAGAGGGAGCTGGACTTCAGAAATCTAACCATTTGAAGTGATTCTTTTTACAAAATATCTCTGGATTTGGTACCTCAAAACAACAACAATAAACAGTTGCTCTGGATAATGGTGAATGTGAGCGTGGGGAGACTCTTGTCTTAAAGTCATATGGTCAAGGGGAGCCCAGACAATTGCATCCTCATCTAAAGAGTGCATATGCAAAAAGACCATTTCTTGGATATACCTCATTTCATACTAGTTCTTTTTACCACTGTGTTCCAGTTTCTGTATTGTCTTTTTGTTCTTTTCTCTAGTTTTATATTTGAAGATATATATATATTTTTTTTTTAAATTGGATTGGAGTCTCACTCTCTTGCCCAGGTTGGAGTGCAGTAGCATGCTCACAGTCACCACAGCCTCGACCTGCTGGGCTCAGGTAATCCTTCTGCTTCAGTCTTCCAAGTAGCTGAAACTGCAGGCACTCACTACGACATCCGGCTTATTTTTTTTATTTATTGTAGAGACAAGGTCTCATCAAGTCACCCAGACTGTTCTTGAACCTGAAGATAATTTTGAAACTGCCTCCCAACTCTTTATTGGAGGGCATAACCATGTAAAACACTTGTTTTTTCCTTCACAATTTATGTAGCAATTATTAATCACATTTGTTCTTCTGCCTTATACTCTATTAATTTTTCTTTCTCTGACTAATGTCATTCATTCTGTGTACATTTCGCTAGGCCAGTAGAGATCAGTTGATGTAGAAAATATCTTATTTCTTCAATTAATTTCTATATATGTATTGAGGACTTTGAAAATTTTCAAATTTCCAAAATTTTGACTGTGCACACTTGAAAGTTTACAATAATAATTTTCATTAAAGCTTTCATCTTTGCAAGACTGCCTAAGTAGTAGTAATTTATTTATTAAATTTTCATCATTAGTATTAGTGATATATACAAATATAAACAAGAAAACTTATCACAACCTACTTTTTATTAGCATTATGAAGGGAAACAACATAAGAAACTGTTGCTAAATCATCATGAAATAAAAGTAAATAATTAATGTGAATAAAAGAAGGTTTTTATAAAGATTCCCTAAAATACTTAAAGCAACCAAAAATTATCCTAAAATTCATTTTGGTTTTGCTTAAAGTGACAAGATTTTATTTATGCCTGTCTATATATTTATCTGGTTGTTTGTTTTTCAGTTGGCTAGTGTCTTTTTAGTTCATCATAATTTTTCTCTTTTGTATTAATAGATTTTTTTTTTCCTTAGGCTTGAATCACCGACTAGATCCTTGATTATGGAAGCTCCTCGTGGGGTTCAGGTGAGCGCTGCTGCAGGAGACTTCAAGGCCACCTGCAGAAAGGAGCTCCATTTACAGTCTACAGAGGGGGAGGTGAGTCCGAGGGTAGAGACTAGCCCTTTACTGCTGAGGATACATCTTCTTAAATCATATGCATATGGTTCCAGGTGAAATTTAAATAAATATTTCATGAGAAATTTTAAATTAGAAAAATATTAATGGTTCTTGAATCTAAAAGTTTCATCTATTTTCTTTCATTCGTTCATTCATTCATTCATTCATTATCTTTAGAGACAGATTCTTGTGTGTTTGCCTAGGTTGGAGTTCAGTGGCATGATCACAGCTCACTGCAACCTTCAACTCCTGGGTTCAAGTGATCCTCCCACCACTATCTCCCTAGTATCTGGACTTAAAAGTGTACACCACCATGCCTGGCTAATCTATTTATTTTCTACTCAAAAATATTCATTCACAAGTTATAAGTGAGACTTTTAAACTCCAGTAGTTCAAAATTGGCAGAGAAATATAATTAATATCAAGAATAAAGATGGCCTTTGTTTTTTGTTTTCTTTTGGTCTTCAAAAGTTCTTCCAAGCCGGGCTCGGTGGCTCAGCCTGTAATCCTGCGCTTTTGGGAGGCTGAGGTGAGTGGATTGCCTGAGCCGGC